TGCTGCTTTTCCAGAGTACGTCCCCCCTTTAGGGCATTTGCTGGCTCTTTTCTCTTCCTTTCCACTATTTACCTGAGTAACTCATCTTCAAGTCAGTGCAAAAACCATCTCCTCATAAAGGCCTGCCTAAGGATCCCTATTTAAAATTATCAGAAGACTCACTCCCACTCCCCCTTACTCTGTCCACTTCCCTCGGTTACTCATACAGCTTCCAAATCACAATATGACTTTTCACATTATTGTTTTGCAGGAATTCAAACTCCACAAGAGCAGAGGTTTTTGTCCTGTTCCCGGCATATAATAAATATTTAGGGAATGAATGAATGAATGAATGAATGAAGTATTTGCACCCAGATGTCCTTGTCCTGCCACTTGCTACTCTTGTCTTAGTAGGAAACGATTCCAACTTGCTGGTCTTTGTTTCCCCTTCTGTATTTGTAAAGTGCAGATAATTATACCCACATTCTAGAGTTGTGATGAGGATTAATTATTCTCTATAATTTAGTAAGTTCCTTTTTTTAATTAACAGTTTTTTATTTTTATTAATAGTTCTGCTTTACTATGTTTCTTTTTTTCCCATAATTTTATTGAGAAACAAATAGCAATGAGACAGTTTCAAACCAAATTGGCAGGACAGTTTCAATAATTAACACATTGCATACATTCTTCCTAGTGGCTAATTGCTGTACAAGATGCAGACATGATACCCTCTTTACAAACACTATTAGAACAAATCCCTCTATTCATTAAGAGAATGTAACTCTATAGCTATCCTAACCATTTTTAAAATTTTATTTATTTAGGTGTGTGTGTGTGTGTGGCCAGCTCAGCCCACCAGGGGGCGGGGCTGGCTGACATGTGGTGCTGGGGAATTGGACCCGGTCCCTGTGCTTTGCTGCCATCTCACCAGCCCCCTATCCTAACCATTTTGAAAGTAAGTTCCTTGATATAGAAGAAAGTCAGTGAATGCTAGCTTCTTTTATTATATACATCCATTCAACATGTACTTGGATAATTGTGTTATATCAGTATTTTGTTAATGAAAGACACTAAGGCTAAAGGGTATTTCTCCTTATTGTCACCCTTTTTATTTGAACAAGTAAGAAATTACCAATGAATTTGTTTAAACCATACATGACCAACAAATATTCGGCCGTCCCTCTATATGATCCCAAGTTCTGTTTCTTGAAATTTTCCCTCACCAGAGCTGATCTGAAGGTGAAACTCTAATATTCCTGTCCTGTCAAATTTTGTTACAGTGCATCTTTTTGTTTTTGTTTTGCACTGGGATCGAACTCAGGACATTGTGGTTGCCAGGAAGGTGCTTATGCCCTGAGCTATCTCCCCAGCCCTACAGTGCATCTTCAGGCAGTAACTGATAAAGTCATCTTTTCACATCATGGTTAACAGTAACTATACCCAAAGCTGACTAAATATCAAAGTTACTGTAGGAGTTTTATAAATTTCCAGGTGTCAGTTTCTTTTTTTTTCCCATCACAAATAGGACTTTATTTATCACTATTAAAAATCTGGATCTTAAGCAGACTCTTGCACTGGTGGTTCATATCCATCAGCTCGTTCAGCTTTAGCTCCAATCTCATCTCCAGTAGCCTTTCCAGAGCTGCTACCTTCACCATGAAGCTCCATGAGTTTTCCCAATTCAAACTTGGGCTTCTTTAGCATTTTTACTTTTCTGACGAAGACATCATGAAGAGGGTAGAGAGACTGGCAAGCCTTTTCTATGTCTTTCCCAGTACTGTCTGGAATCAGTTTATTGACCACTTCCTTCAAGTCATTTGTCTGCACCTCTCGGGTCATGATTTCCATCATCTTCTTCCGGATCTGGCGGACCTGCTGGTGCTGAGTGTAAGAGGTCTTCCGTATCTGATTGTTGTGTATTTTAGTAAAGCCAACACAGAACAGTCGAAGCAAATAACCATCGGTAGTCTTGGCACCAATATGAGCTTCAATCATGGTCTGCCATTTTTTGACCATGGAACACGATTTGTCCCGGGTGAGGTCCATGCCATCGAAGTTAGTCAGGCAGTTTTTGCCCTGAACATCTTCAGTAATTAGCTTGAATTTTCTAAAGGCAACTTCATCATTCTTCAGGTCAGCAAGGCTCACTTCAAACACACGACCTTTGAGCCCATCAGATGCAATTTTGGTTCCTTGGGTTCTGGTGACCAGTGTTTTTCCAATATTTCTTATGTTGAACATAGCCGGCGCCTTCACATCATACCAATCTTTTTTAGAAAATGGATCAACCACTTTCTTCTTGGCTCCTTTTTTGCCGCCTTTTGTAAGGCACTTGTTCTAGCCTACCACCAGGGTGCTGCTCAGAGAGCCAAAAAGCCCAGGTGTTAGTTTCTAGTGGAATGGGAACCATGGATTATTTTGGGGGGAGCGTTCTTTTGTGGTATCAGGGATTCACCTAAGGGCCTTTGCACTGAGCCACAGTCACTGCCTTTAAAAAACTGTATATTGGGCTGGCGAGATGGCTCAGTGGTCTAAGGCACCTACTTGGAACAAGCTCAGCAAAGCACAGGGACCGCAGTTCGATCCCCCAGCACCACATGCCAGCCAGCCCCGCCCCCTGGTGGGCTGAGCAGGCCACACACACACACACACACAATAAATAGATAAATAAAAATAAAAATAATAGAAAATAAAAATAAAAAACTGTATATTATTATTTATTTTTACTTTGAGACAGGTCTCATTAAGATACTAAGTTGCCCAACTAGGCTTAAATTTACAATCCTTCTGTCTCAGCCTCCAAAGTGCCAGGATGTACCACTCTGCTCAGCTTGTTTTGTTTTGGATTTTTTTGGTCCAAATGCCTGCAGGGCAGGTTTGGCTGGCTTGAGTTGTGGGGATCGAACCACAGCAACCTGAGCCTGACTGCTTTGTTGAAGCAGCCACTTAAAGAACTGAGCTTAAGGGGCAGGCCCCTCAGCTTGTATTTTGTTTGCAGTAGTTGAGGGTCAAATCAAGTCTCAGTGCATGCTTGGCAAATACTTTACCACTCAGCTATACCTCTAGTTGCTCTTGTTCTTGATCTTCCTAATACCCCCTATGATTACCCAGCTTGAGAACTGCTAGAGTCAATTACTGCTAACATCATTTTTATTTTTATCTATTTTTATTTTTTTAAGATCATTTTTAAATGACAACATGCCTCTGCACACTCAGCATTGAGCTAAACACTGCATGCACATTGCGCTCTTGCTTTGTTTCCTCTTCTGAGACAGGGTCTTCTCACATAGTTCAGGCTGGCCTTAAACTCACTGTATGTAGCCCAGGTGGGCTTTGGACTTAGTGATCCTCCTGCCTCAGCCTCTGGAGTGCTGAGGCTATAGGTCTGTGCAACCCATCTGGCCTTCCATTTTTGATGTTAACAATCCTCCAAGGGGCCGGGGAGATGGCTCAGTAGAATAAGCGCTTGTCTGGCAAGCACAAGGGCCTGAGTTCAATCCCTGTTTCAAAAAAATAAAAATAAAAAAAAAATCCTCTGAGGAGTTACAATATTAGTATTCCCATTTTTTTCTATGAGAAAACTCAAAGAGATGAAAGCATTGGCCCAGTGTCTCTTGGCCAGTAAATGATGGTTTTAGAACTAAAATCTTTTTTTTTTTAATTTATTTATTTGTGTGTGTGTGTGTGGCCAGCTCAGCCCACCAGGGGGCGGGGCTGGCTGGCATGTGGTGCTGGGGGATTGAACCGTGGTCCCTGTGCTTTGCTAAGCTTGTTCTAAGTAGGTGCTTTAGACCACTGAGCCATCTCACCAGCCCAGAACTAAAATCTTAAAGAAAGTTCAGGGGCTGGGGAAATAGCTCAGTAGAATAAGCGCTTGCCTGGCAAGTGCAAGGGTCTAAGCTCAATCCCCAATTCTGCAAAGAAAGAGAAAGTTCAAAACCCATGGGCCTCACTACGCTACACAGTACCTTCCAAACCCAGAGTTTCTCTCCCTCCAAATGAACTTTTCCAACTGTCTATATACTTCATGGTACATTTCCAAGGACATCCTGGCCCTGACAATATAAATATCTTCTCTAATTGTAGTACATCAATATCATAGAATGCCACGAAGTCATTAAAAATGATGCAGTCTATATTCACTAACATGGGAAAATAGCCTCAAATCAGTTAAATAAAAAATCAAATTACAATGAAGTATACCACACCCATTTCTCTTTTTTTTTTTTTTTTTTTTTTTGTGGAACCGGGGATTGAACTCAGGCCCTTGCACTTGCCAGGGAAGCACTTATTCCACTGAGCCATCTCCCCAGCCCCCATTTCTATAAATAAAATGAATCCAATATAGACTGGAATAAATGAAGCCATTATCCTTGGATGAGGGTTGAAGGTAATGTTTACTTCTGAGATTACTTTGAAATGGCCAGGGTTCCAACAAGAATTCAACACACTGCTTTGGAAAACCAATAGTAAATGACCAAATGACAGAGAAATTGAGGCCACCGCTCAAGGTGGAGGTAGTGCTGTCCAACAGCTTTGCGGTCCTGGGATATAACATGTGCAGAAGCATGCAAATATGGACATGACCACAAGGAGGCAGTCAAGATCCACCCAACCCATTCCACTAGGAACAGCAACACCCAGGTTAACCTTCGGCTGCATGCAGGACAGAGGCAAGTCCTGGACTCATATCCTAGCTGTACTGTCTTATCCAGGGGGTTGGTTTGTATGTGTCTGTTCTCACCTAGAACATTTTTCCCTATCTAAATGAGAGGCAGGACACCCATGGGGCCACATGATGATGTCCCTGGCTAATCCAGAGGTAGTACCAAGACAGCCCAGGCCCCAGCCCCACCCATCAACTGTTTGGTTAAGATTGAAGCTGATGCCGGAGCTGTGGCCAAGGACAAGGATCCCATTTGCAGGGCCCCTGGCCTCCAGGCAAGAAGTGTTGATGATTTACCCTTGGTTTCCCTGCTTGGACCACTTGGCTGTCAGACCACCAAGAAATGGCACCAGCACAGGTGAAAATAATGGTGAACTTTATTGGCATAAATCACAGAAATTGAAATGGAAAAAGCCAGGTTAGAAATTTATAGAGAAAAAATCAAAATCAAATAACCATTAACCCAGTGAGTAGACCCCAGAAACCCCAGGCCACTTGGGGAGAGGCCTAGGATGGGTCACTGTAAACACAGCAATAAGGCCTGTGGGCAGAATTGAAAATGGCAGGACTCTGGGGGGCCCAGGTCAACCTCCCCAGACCTGGGCTACTCCCAGCCTCGCGACAAAGGAGGAGGCTAGGGGACAGGGGGGTGTCTGGATGCATCTCTGTGGAGGAGTCACTCCCCCTGGCCAGGAACCCCAGGCCTTGCTGCTCCTGTTTCACCTTGAGAAAGAGAGCTCTGGTGCTTCTGGCTGGTCCAGCAGGATCCTGTTCCTCTGTCCAGAATCTGACCAGGCCCCTTGCACCAAGCTGGAGCCTTCTCCCCAGACCTCCTGAGCATGGACCCCACCTATTAAAGGGCAGGAACCTGAGCTCATACTCTCCAGCGGGGTACTGAGAAATCTGAGGAAGTAATATGTCAGTGGAATCAAGACTAAAGTGACCCATATGGTCTTCATGGCCAAAGTCGGATCCCAGCTTGGATCTCAGCTTTCCTGAGAAGGCAGAAGAGCCCCAGAGAAGCAGTGAGGAGGCTGAGAGTGTCCAGTGGGTTCTCTTTGTTGCCAAAAAGTTCAATGAGGAGCAGAGGCTCCTAATGGCTTTCTCAGACAGGAAGCAGCCCCCTAAAGCATACTTTCCCCTTCTCCTCCCTCAGGAACAGGGCAGATGAGATTCAGAATTCCAGGTCCAAAGGGCCAGGCACCCTTTGGCCAGTTTTAAATAAGAGCTCACTGACCCAGGCAGTAAGGAAGGAATTTCAAAATACAGCAGTTTATAAAACAGTCCTGGTGCGCTGTGAAGGTACAGAAGGGAGTCACAGAGCTGCTCCCAGTTCACCTGCTTGTGCTAAGAAAAATAAAATACAAATGGCTTCCCTACCCCAAGCCCTCAGTACAAAGCAAACTTCAGCCCAAAGCCCCAGTCACCAACAGGACAGTGGCAGTGGACAAGGAGGGATATAAAAAAAGGAAAGTCTTTAAAATCTCTTCAAAATCATTTTGTACAGAGAAGTAAAAGCAATTCAGGTGATATGAATGCAAACCTCAGTGTAGAAATCTATCAAAGTCGGTACAGTGTCCAGGCACGGGTGACACTCCCCACCTCATGCCATCCCCAGAGATGGAAGAAGTGGCTATAAAACATTATTGCTGGAGAGGTCTTTCTCAGTAGGACCAAAACAGTTATAAAAGGGGCAGTTAGGAAAGGGGGCAGTTGCCCAAGGTCTGGAAAGACTGAGAGGGGAACTCATGTACACAAGTCCCACAGGCCCTTGGGACTTCCGCCTGGGATGAGTGGGCTTATGCTGGCATTGTGTGGAGGCAGGAGGCTGTGTCCCAACACTCTAGGGACTCCTAGGTTGGGGGAGTAAAGATTAAAAAAGGACACCAGCTGATTTGCCTGCCCTCTCTGCCCTGCTCTACTGCTGAAATATGGAGTATACACGGCTCCAGGGTGAGGTGCTGGCCTGGCCAGCTCTCACCCTGGGGACACACAGGGTTGTGTGTGGGGGACCTCCAGGCTCCATGTCTGAGTGAACAAAAATGGGGGCCTGGGGAGAGCCACAGAGGGAGGGAGATGCCCAGAGGCTGGGAGAATGCGCAGAGCAGCAGGCAGGGCCCACGGCCCACTTGCCCCCCCTGCTCCAGCTGTGGACGAGGCTTCCAGTTTCTGTCAGGTTTGCCCCTCAACCCCGGGCGAGGCCTCTGGGTCACAGTAGCAGGTGAGGATGGTGGGGAGAAAGGCCGGACGGCACGAGTGCTTAGCAAAAGAGCTTAAGGAAGCAGTTCTGGCAGTAAGGCTTGTCATTCTGCTCCTTGAAGGTGCCCTTGTTGAGCTGCTTGAGGCAGAAGGCACAGACGAAGTGCTCAGGGTGGAACTTCTTGGCCATGGCGGTGATGCAGCGGCCTGTGATGGGCTTCTGGCAGCCGGAGCACAGCGAGCCGCGGCGCTCATGGTAGTGCACCTCACAGTATGGCTGCCCATCATGCTCGAAGAAGCTGCCATTGATGAAAGGTGTGAAGCACTCCTGCCAAACAGAGGGGGGTGGGCAGAGGGGTGCTCAGGGGCCATCCCTTCTGCTGGACAGCGCCTGGCGTGATGTTCAGGGGTCAGAAGTGGTTACAACACCCGTTCTGACTCCCACTTGCCAGCCTCCTATGTGCACAGTGATGGCCTAAATACTGGGTCCTTCCCAAGGCAGAGGACTGCTGAGGACTTATGAGTTAAGCACCTTGCTCAAGCCATGCTGCTACCAAATCACACAGGCTGGATTCAAATAGAAAGGTCTGACCTCTGGGCACATAAGCAGGCAGCTATAATGGCACTGTCAGAAACCTGGTGTTGAAAAACAGGATGTGTCCATCTGTACATCTCCAATTTGGAGATTCATGTGGTACCAAAGGCTTGAGAAGGCCTGCAGTGAACCATGTTTCCCAGAGCTCCTTGTTAGAGAGCATATGATGGATTTCTACAAACACCTGTGGGACCTCTGACCCCCACAATACAGTATGGAAACCACTACCACATTTCTGTGAAGTCTGCTCAATATCTGCATTATTTCAATTTAATTCTCACATTCTCTTCTCCCAAGTATTCCCAGGCCCAAGGCTCAGCATGGGACTACCTTACCTTGCCCCTGCCTGCCCCCTCTGCCCTGTATATATCAGGGTAAAAGGCTCTGAGATAAGAGTGGAAAAGGCACCCATGGGGACACATCCATTTGCTTCTGTCTGTCCCAGCTTCAGTAACAGCCGCAGGACTTGGCAGCCTTAGGAACTGAACCCCCATGCCTGCTCATACCATGACTCCAAGCAAGAGAGGGAGGCCCTTCCCCCAAGCCTGCTCCCAGCCGCTCCAGATGTGGCAGGGGCTCCTTACCCGGCACACAAAGCACTCAGGATGCCAGAGGGTGTTGAGAGCCGAGATGTAGTTCTCCAGGATGGCCCGGGCACAGCCACCACACTTGGGCGCAAACATGTCAAAATAATCCTTCCGGCAGTAGGCCTTGCCATCTTTCTCATGAAACCCTGAGGAGCGGGGGTTTGGGGACAAATTCAGGGCCTCCGGAAGTGGAGCTGCCTGGCCCCAACAGCCACAGAGCCTTCCGCTTCTGCCCAGCCCTCCCAGGAGCAGTGGGTTGGCCCAAGGCCCTGCCATACCTTCTGGGCCAAAGAAGGCACCACACTGAGCACAGAAGAAGTGCTCAGGGTGCCATGTCCGGTCAAGGGCTGTCACCACTTTCTGTGAAAGCAAAGAGTGGGGATGAAAGCCAAGCTGCTGGGCCGGGGTGACGGCTCAGTAGAATAAGCGCTTCCCTGGCACGCACAAGGGTTTGAGTTCAATCCCTGGTTCCGATTTAAAAAAAAAAGGAAGCCAAGCTGCTACCCCACTGGATGGCTCCTACGCAGAGACTCACGGGCAGCACCTTCCTTCCCATCTCACCACCAGCTCAAGGTCAAGGGAAGAGCAAAACTTTCTGAGCACCATCTCCTAGTTCTGCTACAAGTACCACTAGGAAATCAGATTTATGGAGGGAGGTGACCTGCCAGATACATTCCGTCTCCTCTAATCCTCACGAGCAGGACCAAAGCCATGGGTTCTATTGTAATTTCTGTTTTATAGATTAAAACTCAGGCTCAGAAAGTCTAGGTAGCTCCCTAACATCACATAGCAGAGGAAGTGAGTGAGACACCCAGCAATCACCTCTATTTGTCTGGTCAGGGGTCCTAAGCTCGGAGAGATTTGGAGAGGAAATCCAGGATAGGAGGTAGAAGGAGCATTAAGATGGGCTGTAGACAAGGCCTAAGTTTGAACCCCAGCCCTACCAGTTTCCTAGCTGTCACATGTTGGGCATGTGACATGACCTCTCTGAAGCTACACACTCTGAGGGTTACAGTGAAGAAGAAATGAACTGATGGGGACCTACTGCCCCTACTCTGCCTGCCATGCCACACTCAGATGCTCACATCCAGGATGGGACCATTGCAGTAGTAGCAGCGTGGGGAAAAGAGGTTGTGATAGTCCTTTTCACAGTAGGGTTGCCCGTCACGCTCAAAGAAATTCCGGGATCCAATCTCCTCCTGGCAGTGGGTGCAGACAAAGTGCTCGGGGTGCCATGTCTTCCCCATGGCAGTCACAACCTGAGGAGGAAGATGGAAGATGGCTCAGAGCGAGAAGAGGGCAGAGATCTCCACACCCACCTTCCCTGCTCATTACCTGCCCAGCAATGGGTTTCTTGCAGGCCCCACAGACACCTTTGGCCACCGTGGCCACCCCCAGCTTGTTCAGGTCAGATTGCAGGCTCCCCAGCATGCTGTCCAGCTGGCTTCCCGGCTTTGGGGGTCCCTCGGGGGGTGAGCTGCTTCTGGCCTTCCCCTGGGCCATGAACTGCATTGACAGGAAGAAAGGCTGGTCAGGACCTGAGGGCAGGGGGCATGCATCTCACAGCACCACAGCCTGGAGGGCTTCCTCCTGGACAGATGGGCTGACGAAAGCAAGAAGCAACGTCCTCCAGGGGCCTGAAGAGCCCTAAAGTGGGAGTGAGAGCAGGCCATGCTGGTGGTTGGGGGTGAGAGGGTGAGAAGGAAGGGCTCACAGCCCAGGGAATCAGGACAAGCAGGACCTTAGCCCCCAGCCCTGGCACTGACCCCTCCCTCGTCCTGCCCTTCAGGGCTGCTCTGCCTGCTGCTTGGAGGCCAGCCAGCTGCCCAATGCCACTCTCCATCCGTTCTCTGTTCCAGGCCGTGCATCTTAGATAAGAGGAGGAAAAAAGAAATTTTTTTTAAAAAACTAAAAAGAACATGAGACCTCGTCATCGGACCATTTCACACAAGCGAGTTTAGGATAAAATAAGGATTCTCCCCCCAGTAAAAATTTTAAAAATCAGGGGGAAAAAAAAAATCTAGAAAAAACAACCCAGAGAAAGTGACCCAGGGAGAGGAAAGTAAGTCCTAGAGACAGGGGGTAGGAAAGGGAGGTGCCTGAGGCTGGATAGCACAGAGTCTCAGCAGGCCCTGAGCCTGAGGGCTGGAAGGGGAAGAGAGGGCTTCTGGTTTCCACTCTAGGAGTGGCTTTCTTTGATGGTCAAACCATGGGACAGTGGGGAGAAGTCAGCAGGTGAGGCCACACAGGAAAGTCAAGAGCCAACCAATTTCCTGAGGGGTGGGGCCTAGACATCAGCTACAGTGAGGGCTCAGGCTCAAGGTCTAAGGGTGTTCTGTGATTAATGCTCTAGGGTGTAGGGGGTGTGTGTGTGTGTGTGTGTGTGTGTGTGTGTGTGTGTGTGTGTACATGCATACGCACATGCAGAACTGGGGCACAGGACAAGAGGAGCTGGTGCTGGGGCCCCTGGGAGGCCTGCCTGCATCGAGGGGAAGAGTGGGTCCTCATCGGTCTGGCAGCCCACAGATTTCACAATGTGGGGTGCAGGAGTGGGCAGGGTGTGGCCCTGCCCATTCTCATCATGGAGCTCTTCTCCTGCACTCTGGTCCCCTGGGCAACCATGGGTGGAGACTGAGAGTCCCCGGCAGGAGGGGGTAGGCAGGCTGGCCAGGGGAGAAGAGCTGCTGGCTGAGGCGTCTTGGTGATGCTGGAGAGAAGGGACAGGAGGAGAAGCCAGAACAGAGATGGTTCTTCTCAGGGGAATGGGAGAGTCAGGAGGGAAGACAACCTGGGAAGAAGAGAGCAGGAAGACAGATGAGGAAGACAGATCAGCGAGCACAGGGGATGATATCCCCAGGCTCCTGGGCCTTTCCACTCCGGTATCAATAGTGAAGCCAGCCTAACAAGATCACAGGATACAAAAATCCGCCCCTCCACCCCCAGATTGCTCCTCTAGCCAGTACTGAAGCTGAGGAAGCATCTGGACACCTGCAGCCCCGGTCCTGGCTACCTTCTCTACCAGCTGCCCCCCAGCCCTCCGCCCACGTGGCTGCACAGTGATGACGATGCCCTCGGTCAGCCAGTCCTGTGCAGAGGCCCCGGCTGGCCCTGCGGCCTCCTCCGCCTCCGGCTGGATGCCCAGCCGGCCCTGCAGCTCTGCGATGAGCTGTTCCTGGGATGGGGTCCTGCTCAGGGTGGCAGGGTCCAGCCGGCGGCGAGGGGAGGGCTCCCGGGACATGGGGTGTGCGTGGCCCGTCTCCCGGCTCCTCCTGATCACGGAGCGGATCTGGGGGTGGAGGGGGAAGCTGTCACTATTCTAATGTAGGCTGGGCACAACACTGCTCAGTCCACACTCAGGGAGGGGAGGACAGAACGCAAGCACCAGAGAAGACTGAAGGGAAGGGTTTGGATGCAAAGGGCAGATGACATCAGGTACAGGCTACAAGTGACTCTTGGGTTGGGTGCCTGGGCTGTCACCTCCAAGCTGGCCCCTGACCTTGGGCAAGACATTTAACTTCCAGAGCCAGAAGCCTCTCCATCCTTAAAGTGAGGTAACAATGTTTTCTTGGCTTACTTCCTAAGGTTATCACATAAATTATTTCATAGGATGAGGATGTAAGTGGATGCTCATGACAGGGCAGGACGCTTTCGTTCTTCTGATTTATGATAGAAATTTACAGACTTTCCGTCTTAGTAATTTTTTTTTTCTTACTAGTTGGTCACAAGGGCTTCAAACTTGCAATATTCGTTTTTTGTTTTTTATTTTTTTGGTAGCACCAGGGATCAAACTCAGGAACTTGTGCTTTCCAGGCAAGCGGTTATTCCACTGAGCTATCTCCCCAGGCCCCAAACTTGCAGCATTTTTGCCTCTACCTCTCAAGCAACTGAGACTACAGTACACCACCATGCCAGGCTCAATGAATCTTTTAACCAGTTTTTCTCTTTTTGTTTATGTTATAAGTTACTGGCCTCTAGTGTCTTGAGCTCTTTTATTATTTTGGGGAAAAGTACAGGTTTTAATCAAGCAAGAAGCAAATAAAATTCACAGGCATGGCTTACTGAGGAATCATGTACTATGTTCCATGTACCATAATTCCTACATTCTAGGAATTATCTCATTTCATCCTCAGACGACCGTGGTAGATACTCTGTTATTATTCCCATTTTAAAGATGAGAAACTGAGGCTGAGGTAGTTGCCAAAGGTCACATAAGGCAGCAAGTGCTGGCAGTGAAGTTTCCATCTAGGTCTATGTGGTTTCAAAGTCCATGCTTTTAACCATTCTGCACATCAGAATGTCAAGTGCAGCTCATCTAAAGGGAAAAACTCTAAATGAGCAAGAGGTAGGTCATCACTATGGGCAACATTAGGGCCCAGGGAGCCCTGCTACCCCACAGGATCCACTGCCAAGCACCGGTCCTCAGGGTGGCAGCCATGGGCCCTCAGCACAGGCAGACATGCATGCAGTGGAGGCTACATGCAGTTAGCAGGAGGAGCCCACACTTAGGCCTGCCAGGGCCATGCGCAGTGGCTTCACAAGCAGGTGCCTGCCTGGCCAGAGGTGGAAATCCTCTCCGCAGTGCTGGGTGTGCCCATGGCCATGGCATGTAGAAACTCCGGCTGTTCCTTCCTGGCCTCAGCAGCAGTTTCAGCGGTGCCCTCTGGGCTCCTTGGGGTCTCAGGTCCCTGGACTGGTACCACCAGGCTTCCCCTCCTGGGCCTTTCTCCACCCAACTGCTCATTAGCTGGAGCAGCACAGGTGCTTTCCAGCCCTCCTGGCTCTGGCCTTGCCCTCTCCTGCTGGCTATATTCCTTTGCAAGACTCCAGGTATCTGGGAAGACAGCCTGCCGGTCCACAGCCACAGCAGCTGGCTCCGTCATTTCCTGAAAGCTGCAAGCAGCTCCATAGGGAGCCTCAGGCTTGGATGTCTCCAAAGCCCAAGGCCATTTCCAAGTGGCAACCGCAGCCTCCTCTGGACACGAAGGGTCACCCTGTGGCCCTTCAGGGTCTCCAGGCTCCTGGGAGACTGCGCTCCCAACAGGAGGTAAAGCGTGGCAAAGGAAAGCTGTAGTGGGCTCACTCAGAGGACTCAGAAGGTCCTTCCTAACTGGAGCCTGACTCTCTGTACCGAATGACCCTGGAGAACCTTCTATAGAGGAAGACCTTGAATTGTAGGTGCCAGACCCTACTCCAAGGCCAGCCAAGTCAAGCCAGCTGGGGGCCACAGGAAGTAAGAGGCTCTGTCTATTTTCCTCAGTACAGAGGACCTCTGGGCTGTGGCCTTGGCCTTGAGGGGAGGGTTTAGAGGTAGAAGGCAGGAATACAAGAGGCATGAGAGTTGATGGAGAAGGAGCAGAAAGGGTATGGACTGGAGATGAAGCTGAGCTGGGCAGCAACTTGGGGGAGCTCAAGGTCACAGCACAGGAGCTGGTCTGAAGGAGAAAGACAACAGGAAAGAGAGGAGAGAGAAAGGGAGACATAAGGAAAGATGCTCACAGCAAGGGCTAGGCTCGGCGAACCACCATCTACATAGACCCAAGTGGTCACATGGACTCTTGAAAAAGACTCAGACCTCAAAAAAATCCTTTCTTAGGGCCAGCCAAATAACTCAGCAGATTAAAGCTCCTGCTTCGGCAGACACAGGGGCTGGGGGTTTGATCCCCGATGTGCCGTGCCAGGCCTGCACCCAGGGCACGCTGAGATAGTGATTGAGACTAGGCATGGTGGTGTGCCTATAATCCCAGCACTTGGGAGGCTGAAACAGGAGATTCACTAAGAGTTTGATCTATGTGGTGAGACCCTGTAGACCCTGTACTAAAAAATAAAAAATAAAACCTTTCTTGGGCTTTATGCCCTTGGCCTTCATGAAACCCAGGCACCAGAAAGCAGTCATGAAGCCATCCTTATAAGGTTACCCAAAGTAGGTATGAAAAAGAAGACTAAGATGAGGTAAACAGCAGGGATATGGGTGAGGAGAGACAGTGCCACGCACAAATTGAGAGGAAGCCAGCTGGAGGCAGCTGCTCTACCCTCCTCTGACACTGGCTCAGCTCTCAGCCTTGTCCCTCCTGGACATCCCCAGCTTTCCTGTGTCCCCAAGACCTTATTCTGGGAGCATGATCAGGAGAAGTGCGGTTCCCCCTCACTAGGCATCTGGACATAAGCTGTCCCAAAAGAACCCCACAAAAGGGAAACAGGGCAGGGATCCCTGAGGCCAAAGCCTGAATTCAGCTTATTCACCTCTCACTAGCTGCTCAGAACTATAACATACAAAACTAGGCTCCACCCCCACCCTGGCTTGTGTGCTACTTTTCGTGTTCCCCAAGCCATGCCCCAAAGGTCACTGGCTGACCCATGTGGAGGTGTCGTCAGCAAGTACTGGAGAATTCTGTCAATATCAATCACCATACACATACTGCATCCACTAAATAAAACATTGGCAGGACTGGGGAGGCCTCAACGAGGAGGGACCGAGTAGGAAGGGTATGGGGTAGAGCTGAGCTGGGTGGGGTCAGGGCACTAATACAGGACCAGCTCAGTGGGCTAACAGGATAGGTTTGCCACAGATGGGTCATGGGAACTCTGAGGCCTGGTGGCCAGGCCTTGGCAAGAGAGAGGACAGAAGGAGGCTAGCAAGGGAGGGGTCTGTGCATTCAGTTGCCAGAGACAAAAAGAAAGAAAGAGGGCATGTTGACAAGCTAGCGTGGGAGATAGGGCTCCCAGGCAAGTGACCTCTCAGGCACGGGATCCTAAGTTCCACATGGCCCAGCACAGCACACCCTCCCCCACCAAGAGCAGCCATCAACACAAGGCCCTTTGTCCTCGTGTCCCAATCTCCTGATCTGCTGGACCTGGGTGGCTGGGAGCACCCGAGGAGGAAGGAATGTCCCAGCTGAGTGCTTCTTTGGCTTCTCCGCCTCCACTGACTACTGAGGACACTCTCCCTCTACACTACCAGGCCCACCCTCCCTTGCACCCTGCTCTCCTAGCACTGCAGGGTCCCCGACTCAGAGTGAGTACTCACTCATTGAGAGGCCAAAGTCCATGGACTAACAATGAGGTAAAGGAAGAAAATGAGAGAGAGAACATGGCAGGGAAGACAGGGGGGCCTCAGGGCACCTTAAAATCTGACAGCGAGGCCATCAGCTCGTCCAGTTCCCTGGTGGCAGAAGAGGCCGAGATACGCGTCTGCTGCTGGCTGGAGGTGACGCGCTGCGGGCTGCTCATCTCACCCTGGTTCACAGTGATGGCGGGGCTGCAGGCAGACACAGGGTCAGTGGGGAGCCTAGAAAGCAGCACCAGGCTTTATAGGGGATAGGGGACACCTGGGTCAACACCTCCAACCCTGGGGATATCCCTCGCATACTCAGTCTTTGTGAGGGAACCTATCACTGGGAAAGGGCCATCATCAAGACATTGCCTGAGGTAAGGTGACTCAAGAGGATACATGGCAGCTTAGCTCACCTCTTTCCATGCCCAGGTACCCCATGTGTGTCCGCCACAGTAGGTATAGACTAAGATTACCACAGCAACGTGGTAACACTGGTAAGAGCTAGCATTAAGTATCTGCCATGAGTAATGAGCTATGAGCCAGAAACAACTGCAATCACTTTACAGGGATTATTTGGTCTCACCTCTACTGAGGTAGATAGCCTTATCTCCATTATCTCTTATCTGCTGATTCCATTTTACAGTTGGAAAAACTAAGGCTTAAGACCTGACACGCAGTGAATGGCAAAGTCATGTCTGCCCCCTTTTTTGGAGACGAAGTTTTATACTGGCCTCAAATTTGCAATCTTCCTGCCTCAGCGTCCCAAGAGTTGGAATTTCAAGTGTATATCACAACACCTGGTTACTGTCTGCCTTTTCTGATTGCTATTTGCTGGGTGAAGGCAGGGATAGTGTTTATTCAAGTCACCACTGTACCCCAGGGCCTACAAACAATAGCAAAAGGGAATGGCTGGCACCAGGGTTAGTAGACAGACACTGAAATCCAGGCCTGGCTGGGTAAAACCTTCCTGAGCTCAGGAAGACCCCAGAGGATACTCACACAGGGCTGGGCACAGAGCTCTCCAGCTCATCCAGGAGACTCTCCACACTGGGCCGCACGTCCTCCACGCCCCGGGCCCCATTCCGCTTGGGTTTCTCTTTTGTCAGGGACCCAGCTTTGCCTCCCAGAGGACTGTTATTCTCCGGAACGCCATAGTGAGGGCTCAGGGCCCCAGGCGGTGGGGGGCTTGCATTGGCCTCATCTTGGAGAGAAGGAGAAAGGGTACTCAGCCCTTAAGTCCTCCAGGCACCTGGGGAACAGCATGTGGGACCCGATCCTACCTGCAGGGAACCCTGGAGAATTATGCTGCACAGCATTCAGTTCCAGCAGCAGACGATCAAGTTCAGAAAGGTTGCTGCCCAGGGAGGAGCTCATTATAGTAGGTGAAGGCTCCGCTGACTTCTGCTTGTTGGGGAAGCTTAGAGAAGCAATGGAAAGAAGAGAGTGAGAGATGCTCCTCAGCCTTCCCCTGGCTCGGTGACCCTCACATTTGCAAGGAGAATAATGCAGAGGGGTTACGACCTCTCCCTCAGCAAGAGGCCAGAAAGCAGGAAAGGGTGTAGCAAGGAGAGAGGGGGAAGGAAGTCTTGCTTCAGTTCCTCACCACATGGATAAACCATGACAGCCCAGGGTAGCCACTAAACACAGATGGCAATGACAAGGCAGATAGGCCAGTTAACTGACCAGGAGCCTCCAGGACTCCTACAAATTAAACCCATTACACTGAAAGTAGCATCCCCCAAAGGTCTGTTATTATGGCCTGGTCACCAGCCTCAGCAGCTTCCTGCCCTGACTAGGTCCTTTGCATTTCCAAGCAGTGGGGAGGGGCTGGGCTGTACCTGTAGACGTGCTCCTCCTCACCCGCTCGGGAGCACGAAGAGCTGATGCTGTCCTGGGGGTTGGAGGCACTGGAAGCTTTGGCACTGGAGCCGTACACAGGTGACGGGGATGGAGGCTGCAGGAAGGAAAGTGCTCAGAGAACTGTCCCAAGGAAGAAAGAGAATGGGGGACAGGAGCAGCCCGAGTCACTTCCAGATGGCCTCTGCTCATAGCCACCAGTCTCACCAGGGAATTTCCACCATCTGGCTAGGACACCGATGATTAATTCTTGGTCACTGTCCCCCTCACATGGTAGGTAGGAGGAGCAGTATCTGGTTGGGGACAGCCAAATCCCCCAATCTAGTCTACCAATCTCATTCTTTTACTGGTTTCCCTAACCCTCTGCCAGATAAGCTCCTTTTACATCTTCCCCCAAAACCTCTAGGGATTTCCCAACTCCTGTCCCCACCTTACCTGCTGGTGGGTGAATCGGGAGCTGCTAGGCTGCCACTGGTCTAAGGGATCAAGGATCGTGCCATTGAGGGCCTCACTGGACGGGGGTGGAGGGACCGGGGGTGGCACCGCGATCTCCTGATAGGTGTGGTTTCCAGTTGGGTAGGAATAGGGGGCCTCCTCGGACAAGAACACAGGCCGTTTGGAGATGTGGGAGGTAGTGGACTCCAAGTCTGCCAGCAAGGCGTCTGCAAAGAGAAGACACAGGGAGCAAATGAAAGCCGGGCACCTGGGAACTTTCCAGGAGTAGTGCCTCCCTGCCTATACCTCAAGAGGGAATGAGTGCTGGCTCCCACCACACCCATAGGAGAAATGACTGGCTTCAGGACAAGGAGCCGCCAGTCCAGACTAGCCTGACCAAGAGCCTGCTCTCTTCTCCCCAAGCAGAGCTGAAGATGCTCTGGAGGCTGGCTCCAGGCTGCTCCTCCAGGCTCTCCTACCTCTGTATGTCGGGCACTTGGCTCAGTTCTCCCACCAACAGAGCTGGGCTGCTGGCTTGTGCAATTGAGGAATGCCTGCCTGGAACTCTGACTCTGCAGGGCACCGCGGAGAACGGACAGGAGGGGCCCACGTCGTGGGGAGGGGCCCGGGCAGTGCCAGGCCCTCCCTGAACTTCCAGAGCTAGGCTTTTTTAGCTCTGATCAGAGGGAGCACATGTCCTCCTCACCAGGTAGAAGAAGCAGAATCCTAAGCTCTATGCTTTTCCTGAAGCTCCAGGCTATGAGGTAAGGTATGTGGGGAGGTGGGGGCTGGAATGAAGTTGGTGCAGTGGTCCCCACCCCTTCGGCAAGCCGGGGCCAGGACTGCTCCATTGGCTGTTTCTGTGGAAGCCTGGCAAGCAGCCCAGCCCCAGAGGCTCCAGAGCCCCACTACTTTGCTTTTAACAGCAGCAAGGGAGCCGAAATGACCCTCAAGCACAAGCGATTACCTGGCACCCGACAGCCAAGAAGGAAACCCTGGATCCCTCTGGTCTCTAGACCAGAGGGGTAGAGCTGAAGGGGCAAAGGTATGAACTCTTCTCCTCCTGGGTCCCTTGACAGCCCCCCAGCCCAGACAACCCAGCCTCAGAGGTAAAACACAGCCTGCCATGCTCCTAGACTCACTCTCCTCTCCCTGGCCACCAGCTCCACACCCTCTGGACAATAGTCAAAAAGCAATAGCTAAGCGCAAGGGCCTGAGTTCAATCGCCCGTTCCACAAATAAATAAATAAATAAATAAATAAATAAATAATAATAAAGTAATGGCTGCTTTACTGTCATTTACTAGTAACAGGCACATTACAGTTAATCCTAATAACATGAAAGGCTGAAATTCTGATCTTCCTTTAGAACTGAGCAAAACGGGTTGGAGAGAGACTCAAGTAACAAAGCCAGTGACTTACAGGACTGGCTGACTCCTCAGAAGCCCCAAATCCAGGGCCAAGGGTGCACCTCAGTGGTACAGCACCTGCCCGGCAAGCACAAGGCCCTGAATTCAATTCACAGTGTCAAGAAAAAAAAAGGTCCCAAATCCACATACTCAGCCTATAAGAAAGTGCTATAACTGCAAGATATCACATATAAAGAGTTAACTTCCTGAATGTCAGGGACCCAACCTTTAAAGCCTGCCAATACAATCCTTCCTTGTGTTGACCCTGTTACCCTATCCTTACTCGCAGAGGAGAAAAGAAGGAAGCAAGGTCCTTACCCAGGCCTACTGGGCCACACCTTCTCCCAGAACGCTGCCCAGACCACCAGGTACACCCCAGCCCAACCACACCTACCCCAAGCTCCTGCCCAGATGGTCAGAGGGGTTGCCTATAACGAGGCCCAGGTCCCTGGTCCCGGTTTCCTACTTCTGAGGAAGGTTAATTCCCGCAGCCCCTTCTGCCTCCAGTCCTTTGGAGGAGGTCTGGCTTCCTGCCTCCAGCAAACCGGAACTAGAGGGAGTTGTTAGTATGTGTCTAGGTAACAGCAGAAAAGGAACCAATGTCCAGAGCCAACCCTAGTGGCCCCTCCACTGCCACACCTGCTGTCTTGGCTTCACACAATGTTCCCATTTCCCCTTTGTTCAACCCAAAGTGGGGGTGGGGGACCCTTCTTCTGCATTTCTAGAGCAGACAACAAGTATAATACTGGGCTCTGCACCCATGTCTCTCAGGCTCATATTTCTCTGTTCAACAGTCCACGGCCCACTCACCAAATCCCAAGACCCTCATCTGTGGTGTGAGTCTTTTTTTTTTTTTTTTTTTTGGTGGAGCCAGGGCTTGAACTCAGGCCCTTGCGCTTCCCAGGGAAGTGCTTATTCAACTGAGCCATCTCCCCGGCCCCTTGTGGTGTGAGTGTTAAGTCAGGTTCATTGGTTTATAGACTGGATTGTGGTTTATGATTCCTATAGGCTATTTCCAACATGGATACCTGTGTTGGTTAGACTACTGGTTGGAGAATGGAGACCTAGGGCAGAGACAAGAGACTACTAGGCCTAGAGGTGAGCCAGACCTGAGTTCAAGTCTCAGCTCCACCTACTATGTGTCCCACAGCAAACTGCCCAACCTCTCTGACCCTCGGTTTCTTCAATAAGCTGTGGCAAATAACTGACCCTCCAATATTGCTGTGAGGTTTATAAGGGACAACTGCAACATTGGGATTTATTTGCTTTATGAAATCCTAGAAAAGATCTTCCTCTAAGGAAAAAGGTAAGCTGCGAAGTACAACTCCTCCTCCTCACTCTTTTCTGGGTTGAATATGGGCAAGACATGAACAGGGCAACATTAACGAGAAAAACATAGTAATAAAGTAAAATTCAAAGTGTAGTGTGTATTGATGTCAGGGAGAAGACATATAATTTTCCAGTTTTCTCCATCCATCGTCTACCTGACAGGAGAATCCCAGCGGGTACCTACAAAAGCCACAGGATCTCTGGTGTGGTTTCCTTCTCTCCCTCTGTACTCTTGCCTGGTGATCTGGACAGGGGTTAGTGTCACTGTCCCCCAAACTCCCTACAAAATGCCCAAGGAAGAGGCAGGAATCAGAGGGCAGCCCCTGGAGTAGATACTAAGCCTTACTTTGGATTCCTGCGGCCGCAGAGGCCTGACATTTTCCCACAGGCCACAAAATGGTTAAAGGCCAAAGTCTCCAAGCTCAGCTCAGCAAACTCCTGCCCTGGCTTGAGTAAACAGAGCCATAGAGGAGTCATGTTCAGGTACAGCCCCATCCCAGAGGGCTCCTGGAGATTTCAACTAAAATTACCTTTGCCCAGTTCACCTGAAGGCAAATTCAGAAATTCCTTATATTTGAGTCAAGTATGGTGGTGTATGCCTGTAATCCCAGCACTGGGAGGCTGAGGCAGGAGGATCACTGTGAGTTCAAGGGTACCCTAGGTTACACAGTAAATTCAAGATCAGGAGGAAATACATAGCAAGTCACCCTGTCTACAAAAAGAAACAAGGGCCAGGGAGATGGCTCAGTAGAATTAGCACTTTCCTGGCAAGCGCAAGGGCCTCAGTTCAATCCCTGGTTCCAGAAAAAAAAATAAAGAAAAGAAAAAAACAAAGCAGGAAGAAATTCCTTCCATTCATACCCTGGGGAAGGTGTTAGTTTGCACTGGTCAGAAAACATTAGATCTCTGTAAGAACAGAAACATATAGTCCCTTCCCATGGATAAGGAGGGCAGATTCCAGATATTCTGCCTGGAAGAAGTTAGGGTCCTCATTTAGGCCACAGGCAGCCTCACAGCTTGTCAGCTTGTCATCATGATTTCACTGAGTTCATCATCCAGTCACCCTAGGGGCCGGGGAGATGGCTCAGTGGAATAAATGCTTCCCTGGCATGCGCAAGGGACTGAGTTCAATCCCTGGTTCCACATACACACACACACAAAAAAAAAAATCAAGTCACCCTATGGAAAGAAGCTCACATGGGAAGTCTCTTTCTCCTTTTGGAGGAAACCACCCTAGACTCTTCAGTGGTTTTTTTTTTTTTTTTTTTGTGGGGGAGAGGGGAATCTCTGGGGAAAACAATGTCACACTGGATGAGACCAGAAAACCGATGTATATCAGGGAGGTTTTCTCAAGGCCCGCAGGCTGGGTGCAAAGTCCCCAGCCACCCAGAGACAGAGGTCAGGAAGGGTACTTCTGACCACCAGAGGGCACCATTGACCTATCGGCTTCCTGCCATGAGGCGTAACCAAAGGTAACCTGCAGTCTTGAAATTTTTGAGCAGAGCTGGGAGAAGACTGAGGTGTCCTCAGCCATGAGGAGTGCAAAGTTTCCTTGGGAGGTGGTGGAGCAGGAGGGACAGAACAGGCTACTAGGAAGAGCATAACACAGATGGTACAAAGACCCCAAGCCCTGCCTGGAACACTATCTGGAGGCACAACCTGATGGTGACATGTAGTCAAGGGGCTCAGGGGCTCCTCAGTCCTAGGCAGCCATGCACCCTCACTTCTGATGCTTTCTCTGAAAACTCAGTACTTGGGGCATCCTTGTCTACCCTGAGGCTGGTCCTGGTTGGATGGAGCAAGAGCTAAGAGTAGCGGTGGCTTTGGGCTGGGAGGCTGCCCTAGGGCAGGTGCCTAGGCAGGAAAAGTCCCCTGAGCTCCAAAAACTGTAATCTTTTGGACAGGTGTATAAATTTAGAAGCTTACAAACCCCAGGGATCAAGATGCTGGGCATGGTGGTACACAGCTATAATCCAGCTGCTCCAGAGACAGAAGGATAGCAAGTTTGAGGCTAGTCTGGGCAATCTAGTGAATTCTTGTCTCAAAAAAAAAAAAAAAAAAAAAAAAAAAAAGAAGAAAAGAAAGAAAGAAAGAAAGAAAAAGAAAAAAAAAAAAAAAAGACTGAGAGCCAGGTGTGCAGCTGCCTGTACAACACCCTGGGTTCAATCCCCAGTAACAACAAAAGACACAGACATCCCTGGCCCACCACCTGCCTAAGAAGACTGGAGGGGCCGGTCCGCCAGCATTCCTGGGAAATGCTGCAGCTGTACCCCTCAAGTTCCTGTATCAGCCCAGAGGCACAAAATGGAAGAAACCAGGGGTCCACACACACCCTCAACATGAAACATGGGCATGCCCCCAGATCTAGGCTGACACACTGACATATATTGGGTTCAGTAATGAGCTCAAGGTAATCAGTGGGGATAGAAGTAGAGCTCAGTAGTAGACTTCATACTTAGCATGCAAGAGGCCCTAGGTTCAATCCTCAGC